GGGCTTCGCAAACAGAGCAAGAGACTAATTTCGAGCCAAATAAGAGTGCCACATCACGGAATCACCATCAATTTCACAATCAACCTCCCAGTACTTCCTGACAAGTCCAACACTGCTTTAGCTGTTCGGCCACAACCAAGCAACACACAGATAGAGCGAGACGTATGCATTCAAACCTGGAGTGTGTCCTGGAGTGTGTCCTGGCGTGGGCCCGGGAGAGGGTGCCGGGGTTTCCCCTGGTCGTCGACGGATATGGTACAAAGGCAGCAGCGATTGGTGCTAATTTAGAATGCGCGGACGTGAACCCATGGGACGCAAATCTATGACAGTCGACGCAGCACGCTATCTGCCAAACAACCTTCGTGATATCCGTCCTTCCACAGGTGAAAGGATACTATTTTCCGATTCCTCAAGGCGATGCATGCCCGTAGTTTACAGCTCGACCGGTATCCAGGGCAGCTAGTGACAGAGGTCTCATAATGGGTGGTTTCGTTAGTCTCCCGACGTCGATGCAGGCATAGCCGTTGCTGCCGCAGGAGTGGTCGTCCTGGATTCAGCACAAAGGCAAGCAAGGCAATGCAATATTTTGGGGTTGGAGCGGTAATTTGCAAACGTCGAGGACGCATTAGCAGAAGAGTCTACGAAGCTGCAGCGTCCGTGTGACTCACCGCATAATAACCATCACAATATCACTGATCGTCGAACTCCACCGCCAACGGAAAGCTCGACACGCTTACGGCAGCGTCCAGCAAAATAAATCAACGCTCGCGATACTGTAGATCTCACATCGATACAGTCGCAGGAGCAACAATCGCCACCGTCGTATCCACACTCCTCGTTGTTGTTCTCTGCGGACGAGGCGAATATCAGAGCGAACAAGACGGTCGAATTGGGATGCGGTGCAGTTTCAAACCCTCCACACGGACAGCTCGGTCATCTCCCAAGCAACCCAATGGCCAATGACATTCATCTCTGCCCTGAGGTGCTGTAGGTGAGGCTACAGACCGAATAGGCCCGGACCTGACGTCCCGCACAAATCCACAACGCACAGCATACGCCGTTCGACTCTAATGAATATTGTTTTCGATGAGAGCAGCCTTCTTTGTCCCACCTACTTGGCTTCTACTAGACTCATGTGGCAGAAGTCCTTACGAGGCGCATCTTGATTCTTAGTATGGTTTTAGCTACAAGTATTGTTTGACCCAAATTTGACATGTTGTCGTGTTTTTTCTCGCTAAATCATCCAATACGGCTTTTTGGCGGATGGAAAACATATGCTGAGATCGTTGCCCGTAAAGCATAAAGCGCATGCGTGCGTCGCGCTCATCGGCGAGATGACGGTGGGAACGTCCGTAAAGACGCGAAAACCTTGACATTTTTAACCCTCTTCCTTCGGTAATTCCCTGGTTTGTGCATCATCCCTGTTTGACCTCATCATGCTACAGACGTACGATTTTTCACACTATCCGCACACCATCAGCACACGTTGTTACAAGTTGAGACAGGGTTGGAGGCCACCTCCTGTTGCGGGTGGCATGCCGTCGCCTGCCACCTACTGGACATCAACAATCAACCAATCAACTACTGTTGCACCGCATCATTGGCGCTCGCGAAGCGATCGCAAAGGGTACAGTGTGCAGTGTACAGTTCCATGCGTAAACCGCCAAACCGCCCGCGGTTGCACCGGGTTACACGACTGCTGTCGCCTTTCGTCCTAAGAATAACTTGGCATTACGGTGTACCTTTCGGCATGCCTCCCTCACAAAGACGATTCTCCAAGAGTCAATATCGACAGACGCGCAGAGGGTACAGCATGTAGACGACGCGCAGGAGGAATACCAATAATACCGCTCGGCGTAACGCGACGGCTTCCCACGCTCATGCCACGATACCGCCCACATATTTACTTCAAAGCCGATCCACCTATTGCATTGTCTACCCCCGAAGACGGTAGGGTGTTCCCGGTGGCCGCCGCCCCCCAAAGCACGGGCGGCAGCCATACCCTAGTTCATCAAACGGGACGTACGGCAGCTTGACATCTTCAACGCTACAAAAAACATACCAACATGTCAAGACAACGAGAACGTGTTACTACCAACCCATGCCAATATGTCATGACAGCGAGAGCGTGATTGAAGGCCGGCGTCATAGAGCAACCTCAGGCAACAGTGTTCATATCACACATCACACCGCGGGCCCGGTGTATGCGGAGCGCAGCAAGTGGGCAGCCTGTCATATCCAACTGGATGAAATAGTATACACCTGCACATGGTCGAAACTGCAGTGCGTACTCTCATCGACTTTCCGCCAAGGGGCGGGGAGGTGCTACTAACTGGAGTCACGCAGAGCCATATTTCACCAGAATATTCCGCTCCAGAAGCCAGTGAGATAAGCTTGGCCGCGTTGCGGCCATGGCCCGTTCCATAGGCCTTCAACGCAAGGGGCGAATAAAAACACCAAGGCACTGTGGCAAACGTTCACGCCGATTCACCTGGATCACACCAGCCGTCCGTTATCCAATACGCTTCTGCGCCGCACTCGGGGTAGCCTGCAAGCCGCAGCAATGCGATATCAGGGGGCTGCTGGGCTTAGCGAATGGTAGGGGATCAAGCAGCGAGTATCCATTCCCATGCCGGAACAGGCAAACACGCAATCTATTCCCTATCCACACTTTGTGGGTACTATTTCGTACGCTCATGCTAGCAGCATCTTACTCCCGCTTGTTGTCGGCGAACGGCGTCATTACGCATGGCAGAGTGGCTCCTGACGACGCTCAAGATGGAGATCCCCGGGCAAATAAACAGGTCCACCAACAACAAACCGACACGAGACGAGAGAGACCTATGTATCCAAAAGGGTTTCCATTACCGCGTCCCAAGTGCCGAGTCCTGCAACGTTCCAAACCCTATGGGTACGCAACAAATACCTACGAGACTGTCATACTGCAGACCTGCTCCCCAACATGATGCAGAAGGGTCGAGGCAGTAGTATCCGCTCGACCCACAGGCACCGTAATAACTGCTTGCACAGGTACAAATGCAGCACTGGTATCGAAAAAAAAAGTACGTTTCCAACGTTGGGCGAAGCGCCAGTCGGCAGGGAGAGGAGGGCGGGTACACCGGTTACCGATATTGGCATCGTGTGGTCTGAAAGAGGGCGGGAGAGTCGTTGGTCCGTTGCATTCGTAGAACGCGCACGTAGGGATCATAGGGCACGTTGGGTGACCAACTTTGGTAAGCGAACAAGAATGATACGCAGCCCTAGCTTTCCGCTACGGTCAACACTGGCACACGACACATGGTGGGCAATGCACCCATCGGAAGCTGGGAAGTACACCGGGACATGCGCACCGGGCATGCATGGTCGAGATCGACCAACGAATAGAACCCGAAGCAATTCCACACGAACTCACATCTCCGCCATCGTACCCACAATCCTCGGTGTTGTTGCCTGCGCCAGAGTGCGGGTGATAAAGCCAGAATGCGAGCGAAACATCGGTTTTGGACGAGGATCAAGCTGCAGGTATAGTGCCCACCCGCTCACCTAAGACCAGACATGCTTTTTTGGCCAAGGCTTAAAACTTTCCAGTGTTTGTCGAGTTGGCAAAGTCTACCAAGGTACGACACCCGTACCCGTAACACTAACCCGAATACGCGGGTTGGGGTCGGGAAGAGGTCGGGTAGGTGGTTAGTGAGGGCTGTTTTGGGTTAGCCGCCGTGTGGGTATCGTCGGATACTGTTTCTAGGTTGGGTCCCGGCTGGTGCGTTGGTACTGGGGTCTGGTACCTGTGGTAAGGTTGGTGGTTGGAAGGACTTGGGCGGGGAGCGGCTTAAGGGTAGATAAGGTTGGGTTCGACACGACTTGAACGTTACTGGCCACCGAAAGGTGGGCTAGCGTGGTGCTGGCCTTCGGCCGTGCTGGGCAAAGGCGGCTAGTGTGGTTGGGTTGGGTCAGCTTGTGACGGGTAGGGCTTAGACTAGGTCAAATGGGTATTGTCAGGGTGGTTGGTGGTGGCATTGGGTGGTTGGGTACCGTTGTTGCAAATTTGGCCAGGCTCCTCCGTTCCCCGCCGTCAGATGTCCTTGGTGGATACTGTGCCCGCGGCAAAAGTCAATTTCTTGTCTTTTCGTTTTTTTTTCGTACTGCACTGCCCCACGCCCGCACATGTAGCCTTGTTCGCCGGAAATAATCAAGGGCCAATCCGCAAAGATCGGAGGACCCAACGGACGGAGCTTCGACATGGAGGATACAAGGCCGATCAGGATGGGATGAGGCACCTTTGCGTGAGGATGCGCGAGCACGTTGGCAGGCCGCAGGCGGATGTACGAGCATGAGGCGGTGCAACCCGTGGAAGATAACATCGTAATGTGAACGTTCACCGACTTTGTTTCACAGCGGGCCGGGCACGCGGGTCAGGGAGTACAAGCGGCGACGCAAATGTGACTCCTTTGAAGGTAATGAGACATTATCGCCAGGTCTGGGCGGGGCCCTTGACGTTATGGTCCGCGCTCCTTATGAATGGGTGGAGCTCCGGCACTGGCATCATGAGGGAGATATTTCGAGGCGAGTACTTCAGAGGGAAGGGGAAAGCACGGGTGTCTGCAAGATGGGAACCAGCCGCGAGGCTTACAGGCGCCAGGCGTTGGCTCAGTCCCTCAGTTCTCTCTCTGACTCTGTTTCTTCCTCTGTTCTGTCTCTCTCTGCTTCTTCCTCTCTCCGTCTTTCTCCTTTTCTCTCTCGCTCCTCGACGATCTAGAAACCAAAACAACATTTGGGCTGGTCGAAAGAAAACGACAAATTATTGCTCGACATGTTCTACGAGTCTGAGCCTGGGTTCCTGGTGAGTGTCTCTTTGCAGTGGACCGAAAACGTACGAAATTGAAGTGGCCTTTGCCTATGGTAATCCCGCTACGGCGGATATTGTTTTCTTGTCGGACAATGGCGCAAACGTGAAACCGAAGGCCACAAACGTTGCAAATGCTCAGTCTCGGGCAACTTCCTCAGACTCGTACTGTCGAGTCCACGAATGATTAGTCCCGTTCAAACCAAGACCAAGAAGGATTGAACTCACCTGCGTCACAAACGCCGTCACCTATCGTGGCAGCTCCACCACACGAAGAAGTAGGCGCTGTGGAACATCAGCACGAGACCAGGGACGGGGTTTCGAAGGTTGGTCCCAACGCCCAGGAGTGTTAAGATGGTGGGTGATGATGGGCAAGATTTCACAGGGAAATTCGCACCAGGGGCCGCCGCCAAACGAACAGCAAACGACGGAATCAGGAGGAAACAGCCGACTTTCCACAAGATGCAAGCGTGGACACAACTTGCTGGAACAACAGCTCATGAGTCGACAACAGAGGACGAACGAAGCCCGAATACAGTACACTGAAGGCCTCGTGAGGTGGCGCTTTTGTACGAAACGCCACCATTCCTACACTGATTGTGGTCACCGGCAAGCGACAACGCCAGGTGAACATCGAAAATTGTACGCGTCATCCATTGCACCTTGCACCTTCAAGTATCCGATTGGCGGTGCTCTACCAACCGCTTGGATTTGAGGTGGATCAATGCATTTGAACTCGGTGAGACCTTGCGATTGAAATGAGACGCTTACCCCAGTTTTATTGCATCTGATTCGGGTGCAGGAACGTATCTATTCAATGCCTGCGCTACAGTAGATTTTCTCCCAACAGACAAACCATCTCTTCAACGTTCACGACAGCGGAATTTCGACGATATATAGATGCAGATTCAGTTGTCAACGACTTCCTGGAGGTTTTCGCTGCAACGTTCACCAGGCAAGACCATCCCGGACTGAAGATGGCTTCTCCCAAATCGACTCCTCGCCAATATTACCGAGATTCCAGAGATCGATCGTACAACGATTTCAAACCACCATCACAGGAAGGGGATGCACATCATCTCCCAGGACCAAATCAAATATCGACGATCCGAGACGACGTGGTTGGAGGCAATTCTAGTGCCAGTCCTCCTGTCTACCGAACATCAACAAACTCAGTTCAAAACGGTAATGCAACAAATCATTACCGTGACCGTGATCGATTTCGCTGCTTCCTGGTTAACTGTTGGCTGTGTGTAGCAAACCGTGTGGTTCCGGTATGCCAGGCATACCGGGTTACGGCACCTTACGTCCACAGCGGCGGAGAAACAGAGACACTACAAGCGGTCTTGGAAGATGCTACCATTCCTCCCTCTGATTTTCGCGGGCCTCGACAATCGCATGGTTTTGATTGAGCTCAACCTCCAGAAGTTCTCCTGACAAATTCAAAACTGCTTTCGATGTTCACGGCCACGACCAACCGGTATATAGACACAGCGGGAAAAAGGAGCCAGTGTTGTTCCGGTTCGTAAACAAAGGGTCCACGGAGTGATGGACAACGGTGCATTGTCCCAATGGATGATGAATTTCACCGCTATTCTAAAGAGTGTACTAGCTTGACAACGCCTCGTGATCGTATCGAGCGCTTTGCAGCACGACGATGGAAGACGATGTGTACGTTCTTTGGGTACGCGGGGACACTCATTGTCTCGGTGAACTGGCTTACCTACCTTGTATCAAACTTCTTGTGGAGCGCTTACCTACCTTGTATCAAACTTCGGGTGGAGCCATACTTTGGGCTACCGTCACCTTTGTGTGCGCTTACCACTGTAGAAGGAGTAATAGCTCGCCTGGAGTTTTCGGCGCCCAACACCTTGCCCCTGGGAAAAAATATCAAAGCATCGGCCGGAGAGGCTCTTATAAGCACATGGTTTGTTGCACTTGCGAACAGTTGGGCGCGAACGAGTCTTGCTGCGGGTTTGCACTATACCAACAATCAACGGGGAATTGCACTCATTCGAGATTCCTGCTGTCGATGAAACCGGTGTAACTCGAGACGCTTCAGCTCTCGTGTTCCAACAGAGCATTGCAATACAGGGTGTCGTGATTTGAACACCTCTCCAAGTTGGGTATTTGACACCAATCTTTCTATCCATACTTTTGAGCGTGCCAAGTGTCATACAGGGTGTCGTGATTTGAACACCTCTCCAAGTTGGGTATTTGACACCAATCTTTCTATCCATACTTTTGAGCGTGCCAAGTGTCTCTGGATTTGCTTCGAACCCATTTCGTGTAATCACAAGTAATCACGGGGCTCGGGGTTCGCAAGAGAGGACCCTAGCTCGCGCACAGGGTACCTCGAGGAAACCAGGGTTCCCATTGCTTGTATTGGGATTTGATATTCGGCAACCCCCAGCCCCCGGAAATCTACGAAAAAAACAATGGGTACTGTTTGTGCCGAAGTGTGCAAGAAAATGTTTGTGCACCCTTCACATGTGCTAGTGCAACATACTGTACGACAGTCTTCCGAAATGAATGGATGTTATTCTACCGTGCACCCTTGGGACAGCATCAACACGGTGAAAAATCCGTGGAAACTGTCGACCAACAACCAAAAAAAACGTGGTCAAACTTTCATGGTGAAGGTATTGAAATCCGAGAACCACACGGCGCTTCGCCTGTGCTGGTTCTTCTTATGGTTTCTGTTGTAGAGCAAGGATAACACACGTGTGGGTCGGGGACGCGCGATGTGGTTGCTCACCAATGTTGGGTTTACGTCACCGTTGAGAATGGGTCCAGAATTCGCTCCTCCTTTTGAATCCTCCCTTTCCCCTTGAGGGGTTAGTGCAACCGACGTCCACCCCTGTATTGCACCTGCCAAGGTTGATTCGAAAAAATACAAGAGGAAGGCAGGTTTGTATGGGATGTCGATGTCAAGTGTGACAATCCTAGCTAAACCTTCGAATGGCACATCAGCCGAAAGAAAAAGAGAAACAGACCATTCCTCAAGACGATGGGGTCCTCCCGGTGGTGTGTATTCTTCGTCTATTCGCAGGACTTTTCCAATTATTCAGTTGGCGATCGAAATGCGTCAGCCCAAGAGCAGCATAACACTGTAGCTAGAGCAGGGTTTCAAGTCATGGGGGCTCGCACGGCAGGCGCGCGCTCGTACACATTACATGTGGCCTGCGTTTTCGTCTTAACTGGCTTCTCGGTGCATCATTGCCGCACCAGCCGGCAATACCCAAGAGGAAGGCGCCAACAGCAAATATTGTGTGGGATAACGCCTACGCGCACCCTTGGGCCGTGTGTTGTAGTCTTTGGATGGTCGGAAAAGGCGCCAATTGATCGCACAGTCCGTAATACAAGATCATCCCCTAAACTTGACAAGATTGTGACAGAACCGTGAGTGAGTATGGACTGCAATATGCTTAACAACTTGTGCACCACAGCCATAGGGACTGGCAATGCCGTGGACGTGGATGCAGGACATGCCCCTGCTGAGAGCACCGCGGCTCTACCTAAGTGGGTCACACGCGAGCGGTGGTTCCACGCTCAATCACGTCCTTCTGCTCTATATCATTGATGGAATCTCAGCAGCCGTGCACGGCACGACGCGTGCTGCTGAAACCTGCACATTAGGATCCATTGCTGAGGCTTGCTCAGTCCCTACCCTCTGCGCCTTCCTCCTAACTAAGCTCCACCGAGGCACACACAACGCCGTCTGCAACCGAAAAGCCACTCAGAACCCCTGTGTTGTGTTCGGGTCCAGTTGAGTGAACCTGAGCACACGGCTGAATGTTACTGCACACCCTGTCCGATGCGTGAAGTTCACGTGATCGCACGGGTCACTTGCACAATATATTCGACACCCGAGAAAAAGAAACATACCGCGCCACCCGCCGGCATGTGTACCACAAATCTCTATGTATCAATATTATCGAACAGGTGCTGTATCTTGTGTAACCTGCGGTATGCATGCATGGCTGCATGATACTCGTGTCAATGTGCCAACTGAAACTTGGATTTGTGGTGGGATGAAAAATATCCAGGGATCCCCGGGGGATAAAACGTCCATGCGTTTCGCTGACACGCTCGCTGCCTCTTGTTTGATGCATCTCGCTCGGGCTGAAGACCGCCCAGAAATGGTGAACATTGCGCGACCCCCAGGCTCACCTTCGGGATGTCGGGATCTTCTAGAATACACCGATCACCTGCCTAGATTCCTGGTGTTCCTATATCAGGCAATGTTTCAGACGATAGTCTGTAGCCGAAACTAGTGGTGGTATGCGTCCCCTCTTGGTCGGTATCGCCTGGGAGTGAGCAATACCGAGCGACTAAGAGAGACGGGAAGAAAAAAACAAGGAATCGGACTGGCACGTAGCAACTAAGCTGCACATAGTCGGATACGCTCCACACTGCGTGATCTCTTCACACTTGGCGTCGTCGGTCGGACACTTGGCTCGATTCTGCCCTTTGCTAGCCGAGCGCTCAGCTCTCTTAAAATATTTGAAGAGGTATGGGGAAGGTTCGTGAGGATCCGCATTCTCAATTCCAGAGATGATCCTTCAAAGAGGGTTGCAGTTTCCCCTTCTGTAGGTTATATTCTCTGCGCATACGTTGGGCTGGTTTCATTGTATTTGAACCTTGGACAAAGATCCCATCCGGACGGGAATTGATGTTGCAAATACGTCGACCACCTCCTGCCTAGATTCATTCCTGGTATTCCGACATTTGGCAATTTGGGGAACGATATTCGATAGCAGCAAGAAGTAGTCTCTATGCGCGCCTCTTGTTCAGAGTTATCCGGGAGTGAGCGGTAGCGAGCGACTGAGAGAGCAGCCAGGAAGGATATGAAAGGAATCGGCCAGAATCGCAGCAGCTAACCTACACACAGTGGTCGGTCACGCTCCACCTTGCGAATCCCATCACGCGGAGAGAACATGGAACAGAGTATGGTCTTATTGGCCGAACACACAAAGACATGCAAAAGAAAATCCTGGAACCGATTGCGACCTCCCTGGTTCCTTTGGGTGATTACCCCGCACGAACATCACAGGGAAACAGATGGAAGTGGGCTTACCCACCCATTCTCAGACAAGAATGGTTAATCAAACAAAATCCTTTGAAACACTCGTGACAGGACCGAAATACTCCCAATCTTGTTCGAATGCCTGGGCAAGGGCCATCATGGACAGCACAAACATCAATTTCTATGGACTTTCAGGCACGTCTTCGCCCCACATGCCACCGCGGTGCACAAGGCGTCAGCACGTTTGCCCGACATTCCGGTGGGTGTCCCCACCGAAATCTGTGACTTTTTTCAGCACTTATCGTTGCCTTGTACTTTGGGTACAGTTTTGTTCGCAATGTACCTATACTTTTGTTGGGCCATTTTTCATTCAAAAATCGACCTGCATATCACGTGGGAACGTGTCAAATGAAAAAAAGTCTAACGTGGGTACATCGTGGAAAAACGTCCGTCACAAAACAGCACTGTGGGTACATGAAAAAAAGTAGGTTTCGGTGGGTGCACTCACCGAACTTTCTGACAACATCGGGCAACTTGTTGAGGCCTTGCTTGCCGCGGCGGTGTAAGGGATAAAAACGTGCCATAAAATTCATAGTAGTTGGTGTTCTTGCTGTGTATGGGCCCTGCGAATGTTGTCGAGGAGTCGGAAGAGGTTTATAGTGATTCGAACCTGGCGCGAGGTGGCTTCCAAAAGCAATATTTCGAATACCCACTATTGTCGGAGAACGGGGTGGGAATTTCCATGTTTGCCAACAATATTTTCCACTGTTATAACATTATACAGCAGAGGACGAAACGATGCACCGAACCACAATAAAACCGCAATGAACTCGAGGTTTTTCCATGCAGACGCACGACGGGCAAGCCAAAAGCTGTATCGATCTGTCTAGCCCAGTTGTTCGTGAGGAGAGCAAGTTGTTGTCGAGGTCGACTCTGACTGGGTATAGAAGGGCCGCCTTTAAGGTGGTTGTGAACACGAGCCGCCTGTGCTGCCAGAACTACTAGTTGTGCTTATGTACTCTTCGACGGTTTGCGACGCTGCCAAGGCCGCGGTTCGAGCGGTTGTCAAAACGGGGTAAGAAAGTCGCACCTTAAGAAATGTGAAAGTCGCACCGCACCGTACCACACCTTCACATTTCGAGATGAAAGAAACGCACAGCACCGCACCGCCGCAATTCGAATTGAAAAAACCCGCAACGCACCGTCATCGTGTAAAAAACCAAACCGCACCGCGGTGCGGGTCCACCTCGTCAACATCCCTGAAATACACCAATAACCCGGTACAAGTAGCAGTGAATTTCGCCGGCACCACAAATTATTCTCTGTGAGGGTGCTGACCCCGGACCAACCCAGTCAAGTCTCACGAGCACCCCACGCTTCACTCAGGGCGTGTCGAGCACCTGCGGTCGAGGTCACCTCGAGTTGAGATATCGATGAACTTGCGACACATGCCGTGGGAGGAAGGGACGGAGGAACGATGGCTCTGAACGGAGTCTTCAAGGAACGACTTCTTCAGATCGTTTCGGTGGCTACACAGGTGGCCATATCTCGGCGAATGCAGAGGTACAAGCTCGCATTGCGCGGGCTTCAAGACGCCGAAAACAGGCAAACAAGATCGACCTCGAACCAGTCAACGCCAATGATATGGGGATGGAGTGTAGACGCATCGTAGAACGCGTTTTCGTTTGAAGTTGGCGTCTTGTTTGAGAGTAGATGTGACAGATTTGCGTAGAATAGGGTAAGATGTTATCATGAACGGAGAAGAAAGGGCTTTTCCAACACGGAGATGTAGCATGGATCAAAGCATTTGTTGGATTTCAGCTTTTACAAGCGGACATCAACGCAGTAGTATTTTAGCAAGCTTACGAACGCATATAGGATACCATCAGGATTGTCATTGGTAAGTTGAAGAGGAGATACTTTTACGATGTAAATGACAGTAGAAATAAGTCCTACATATGTTGTTGTACTTCGTATTGGTTTAATATTCATGTAGAGTATGAGACATTAAGTGAAAGTTTTTTTAGGTACATCTGCAATTGTCGGAAGGCAAAAATAAATAAA